AGTATCCAGTTTGTGTGTCGGAGGTGAAAGGGCGAAAATAAATCCAAAGACTCTTAGTAGGAACAACGGAACTGGACACTGCTAGGTAGATGCATAACTTTGAACGACTAAATTCAATCAGAAGACTATTCTTCGTGGCTCCACCAAATAAGTGACTTCTACCTTTACTATCCTGTTGTCATGAACTAGGAAGACGGCGTCCCACCGATCCTACCCCCCGGACACGCTACTGCAACGCATCTAGACCATCAACACTAGAAGCTATCTTCACATATGAGCGTCTTGTTATAAAACGGTGCACAGACATCTGTACGAGGCGCTGAAAGTTTTCTAATAAAGAAAAAGGAAGACTAGAAAGTACCAAGCAGGGGTGAACAAAGTAAGACAGGGATGAAATTATTATTTTTTGTGAAAGACAAGAATATCTGGGACGAACTTACGATGCCAGGTTTCAATTAAATTATTCAATGGATTCAACGAGGCCTGAGGAATTACAAACTAATAATTAGGGTGCACATAACTAATTTTGATGATTTCCCAAAAGTAGAACATACAGGCAATGATGCACAACAAGGAAGTTTTACATCACCATATTTACAATAGTTACCACTGAAGGAAAACTTATGCATTTCATTTTAAGTTACATACCATAATAAAACGGCTGAAAAATTCGTAATAACCCGAAATGCAAATTCATTATCAGTCACCCTTAAGATTTAGGCAGCAAGCAGCCAGCCGATTCTTAGAATTGTGTAAAATGACTTGCTTTGAATTAGAAGCTTACAGTTTCTTCAATGCTAGTGAGCCAGATGATTTATTGAAATAATTTCTAGAAGAAATATAAACCAACCTAAGTAACTAAGTGGCACACGAGTCTACAAAAACTAGTGTATGGTTAACAGCATTAGAATTTCTAAATCGATGTAAAAATGTATTCCTATACTCATAAACAGAACACATGAAGATTAACATGTAACGTCTTACGATTTAAAATACTGCTAAAAGTTGTTTTAATTGCTTCCAATACTCTGCTCAGCGTAATGGCTACTTACTGATTCAAAAGCTTCTGGAGAACAAAATTGCTGATAATCAAACTACGCGTATCGTAAATTACTTCTGCAATATTAAGAAATCCGTTTCCCGAAGTATTACTCTGTTCCGGTCCATTATCATCATATCAGAAATTCTGTTTCAGACTTCCATTCAACTCAGGATGACGCGTTCAAGAAAGCTGCAATCATTGGTAAATCTACGTTTATTCATCTTCTTTGTGGAATAAAATGTCGACCCTTGCCACGTTGAATTTTTTTCACTACGTAAACCAATGCAGATAGAAACTGCAGAAGTGATCGGTTATGAGATAAAGGACCACGCACTCTAGAGGTGAGTAAGTTACCTTTACGCTCCGGCCGATTTAAATCTGCGGAAGAGTCTAACATTCCCACGGGGCAGGTGACTGGGTGAGCCCCGTCACTTTCGTATTAAAAAATAAATAGAAGATAGCAAACGAACATGATGATAATTTAGTTCAATTCTTTATTTTGGCGTGCTAACTCAACAGCTGGAGGAGTCAATTTCACAATCCGCACAAGAAGATAAAATAAATTCAAAGGAGATAAAAAACTAATGTAAACAAAAGAAAGATAAATACGTATAATTAATTTAAACACTTTCTCATGTCGATAAAATGTTTTCAAAGGAGAAAATGGTTTTGTCAAAAATATAAAATATCTGCACATATTTGTAATAATGACACACCTAGTTGAAGGAAAATATCTTAATACACTGTTCACGAGGAAGTAGAATTTTTTTTTTTTTTGCCTTTTAGGAACACGAATATAAACAACGTCTATGATAGGATAAAAAAATAATATCAAATTTCAAAACATTTTGTACCACTGTTACAAGAATATGCTTAGAAAACTACTTCTTACGAAGTATTAACCTAAAATGTAAATTTAAACAATGAAAAAAAAATTGAGAGTGACTTTTCAATGTGAGGATTTGAGGTTTTCATGGCGGCGAGTACGAAGAAAGTCATCTTCATGTTATAAGTTCGGACATGATCTTCAGTGTCGCTCACACAGCTATTACTCCCGACTTCAGCCCACAACACTTTCAATTCCTGCGCACACAAGGTCATGTGTTTTCTAATGAGCAGCTTCACCAGGTGGGACCAGACCACAATTTATATTGTTAAATTTAACTTCATAATTATAAAGACTGCTTTCAATGCTTACTTGTAAGACAAGTACTCTATTAAAGAACAATTCTTTCACTAAATACGAGCATCTAGATTTAATTATAGATTCCGTTAAAATCAAGGCACGAACTACAACATCACAAATATTTACATTAACGCTTAGAGCTAACAATTAAATTGAAGACCGACTGCTGAGCTACTTTATCGTGTAGCTCCATCACTGTGCCAAGGAGTCAGAGAGAGAGAGGGGGGAGGGGGGTAGTGACGTGGAACGGAAAATGGCCCTAGTGTAACAAACTACAGAATTCATAACATATTTCTCTACGATGCAGCAAAGCTTCTGTCTGGAGCAATATACATTTCGAGAAAAAGAAATCAAATATTAATAAGGAGATTTCATTCTGAATAGTTCTTCAGAATATAAAGAAAGAGAAGTGGGTGAAATGTGAACTAATATTTGTTTAAGGCAACGAGAAGACGGAAAGAGGAATTTGTCTCTTTGCAAGAAATACGAATATTGATTTTGGGAACCTTTTAAACAGTAGCCTCTAAATTTGTTACAACAACGTACGCTGTTACCACCGATTCCAACATAATTCAAACAAATATTACCATTTCCATTCTAATCCTCTTTGCAATCGCACACTGACTGGCTGTGAGATGTGTACGATCGTGTCGTGACACAGCTCCTAGGTGTCCTGTTTGGTAATCGGGATGTTCCGGAACCAACACTTGGACACAAGCAGGAGCTGAGGGTTCTCGTTAACTGTGTTAGCCCGGCTAACACTTCCAGAAACGAAAAGCAAAAAGTCTTCTGTCTTACTTTCTTGGTTCAGTGGTATTATTCCATACATTGGAACACAACAGAAACGATACGATAAAGTGCATCATTAACCACCTTCAGCCAGGAAAGTGCCTTCGGCTTAAGCCTCAACTAGCTGGCTAACAACACCTGGCTGGATACAACTGGTTAACGATGCACTTTATCCAATTGGTTTCGCTGTGTTCCAGCGTAGGGAGTATCAGTACACCAAGAAAATAAGACAGAAAGTGTTAGCCGAGTTAACATGGTTAACACGAATGGTCAGACCTGAACCTAAGCGTTGACAACGCCCATTATTGCTTAACTTTAGTGATCGGACAGGAAACAATAAAGTGGAGGATAACATTTTTGAGTAGAAAATGGCTCGCTATCAATGAAAAGTTAGCTTAGATGAAAATAATGAGTATCGTATTCCTCGATTTCAAGACGCACTCTTGAGTAATAGGTCTGCAGGAGAAAAGATGCTATATGAATTCGTAGACGCCATCAAATGTCCGACGCACCCCGATTTCAGAAATTTTAAAATACGAAAAAGTATATCTTAAAATCACGAAAATACAGAAGTATTAAGAAACAGACCTGTACGAGAACACTTGTATAAAAGTATATGTTAAAGTGTGAATAAAACTAGTAATATATGAATAAAATTTTATAGTAAGAGAACCACAAAAGCCCGATCTCAGGCGAACGCAGATTTCTGTATAGAGAACTCAACTCAATACATGATTGACTGGTTGAACTCTTGAACCCATCGTCGGGGAAGTAACCGAGATTTATCCGAGTTCATTTATGCATATAGCGGAACAGAATAACGTTAAAATGTATCTTCGAGTCCGTCCAAATCAATCGCGCGACTCCTGCAGGACAATTATTGAATTTAACACTCCAGCTGATACAGAATAACGACGTGTGTGTGTACAAATCTGAACGCCTCTACCAAGGCTTCAGACTGGCGCCGACTGCTATCCTATACTTTTACGAGCCATGCACAACAAAAGGAACTCACGAGATGCCGAGAAGAGGGATGTCTCAGGATTCCACCCCCACGCTTCAAAGTCTATATTGCCATCAACTCCCCATTTTAACTGTAACCATGCGTAATCAAGCCCTAGAGAACGGTTTTAAGAACTGCCGACACTCCACATCCGAGAATCGCTGTGTTTGAGAGCACTGTTTCTAAAAAACCGTCATAAAGACTTCACTTATATATTCTGCAATTTGTATTCAGCCTGAGATTTCAGAGAGACACTTCGCGTGATGGTACAGTGCTCCTTAGTAGGCTATTTCACAGAGTAAAATCTTGACGAACATGTATACAATAGACCGATATGCTTGAGCACTTGTATCAAAGAGCAGGTTAACTTCATGATGATTTAATTGGCTTAATGATCCAAGATAGCTTAGTCAGTAGAAAGAAAGACTAGACTGGCTCGACGACCGATGTTCTAATCCTGGAACTCGAAAAAGGGGAAACAACTCTCATGAAGACGACTGTCTTCTGAGTTGTTACGCCGTGTAGTAAAGTAAAGTAAAGTTTGTCCCACTATACGCCATGTAGGCGTTTGGGGGGAGTGGAGGTATAGCTCCTCTCTTCCTTGACCTCGGCACTAGATGGGGGTGAGTGGTCAGCATCACGCCCCGGCCGGCTTTACCCCCGGGAAAGGACCCCGGTACCCATTGTAGAGGAGGCTGGGTGGGCCCCAGAGCCGGTCTGGACACAGAGGCTAGAGGAAAAATCCTCTGCCCCCGTCGGGGATCGAACCCCGGTCGTCCAGCCCGTAGCTAGTCACTATACTGACTGAGCTATCCCGGCTCCTACGCCGTGTAGTATAGCAGAAATTTACCGACGTGCCTACTGCTTCCATCTTCAGGGCGAGTGGCTACTAAATCTGTACCAATTAGCGACAAGACAAACGCACTGCGTCATTCAAAATTTCATAAATTTGCTTTAAGAAACATCGAAGAGTAACTTACCAAAAACAGCGAGGCAGCTCTCCAGGAACCTGATGGATGGACCTCGATTCCCGTCAGGTGTGTGTCTTCATATACGTACATTACGCGCGTCTTAGAGCCACAAAGCCTTTTATCCCAATGAGCAACGCAGTTTTCTGACAGCCGGTGTGTGAGACAGCTACTCACTCACCTGCAGACAGAACACGTATAAGCACATTACTTTTGTGATCTCTAAACCTGCATATTACAGGCGTATGCTGTTCTTAAATACTGATTTTCAGGTGTTCCTCGGGTCTCTAACGAGAACAAATGACACCTTATAGCCCTATATATCGCAATTTGTTGCAGGGATAGGCAACCTGCATGACCGGGAAGTCATTCTTGCACGAAAATAAGAACATCTGATTCACACTGTCGAGCAACAATTACATCTAATCACATTAGTGCACGAACGACCTAAGGCACAACTATGACCTCGGATTATATTAGTGCAGCAGTGACCTACGAGACGTGGCATATCAGTGTACTCTCTTGATGAAATGTTGTGTTACCATTTACATATAATTACGTAGCTATGAAACTATATTTATGTAGCCTCAGAATCTGTAGAAGACAGCACAAAATGAGCTTAGTAATTTGTACGTACTCTTCATCAAACACTTGTCTAGGAATCAAACATGGGATGACGAGATATGCTGATCATGCAGCACGCACACAAAGTACAAGTAATGTAAAGAAAATATTGATAGAAAAACCTGAAAAAAAGAGATAACACGGCAGAACGAACCATTTGTTACAAGAATATGCTAAAATAAATTTCAGTGACACAGGATGTGAGGTAGCGGCCTGGGTTGAACAGACTTGCGACGGGGTCCAGTGGCTGGGCTTTGTGAAATTTATAAAGAACGTTTGGGTTCAGTCAACGCTTACGTGAGCCCAAGAGACGACACGGTGCCAAAACCCAAATCATCATCATCATCATCATCATCGGTCCACAGATTAATGCTGCGTTGAAGATTTCTGTCTTCTGGGTTGTTGAATCGCCCTGATGACGGAGGCAGTATGACCTCTGAAACGTTGGTTAACATCGACCAGACTACACAGCGCAACAACCCAGAAGACAGAAATCTTCATACTCATCGCCCTGATGAAAAAAAACATCTACCAGACTACACAGCGCAACAACCCAGAAGACAGAAATCTTCATCTGAAACGTCGGTTAACATCTACCAGACTACACAGCGCAACAACCCAGAAGACAGAAATCTTCATCTGAAACGTCGGTTAACATCTACCAGACTACACAGCGCAACAACCCAGAAGACAGAAATGTTCATACTCACCGCTGTGAAAACCTCAGATCATACATAATGCAGCGTTACTCTATTCAAGTTTGGGGAGCCCTACTCAGTAGGCAAAATATGAGGAGAGCAAATAGGCATTCTACTCGTTCTGGGCTACTCCTCATTGAGGCTGGGTCGAGTTTCTCCTCGTAATTACGACGAGTGATCAGGTTTCCTATTGAACAAACCCGGGATGTTTTTCTTCTCTTTCAGATTGCTGTTTTGTGCCACGCAGAAGCACAATGAAAGGCCTCATTCTTTCTTCCTTTTGAAAAGTGAATTGGCACGAATTTACCAACGTTTAATGCATTGTGAAAAACATATTAGGTCGTGTCCGTTTACTCAGAAATTGGGCTTTCATGCTCCATCCATCCGTCCATCCACGAAGGATGATTTGTCCTGCGTTGCTCCCATAAGCCAGACTGCAGCAAGAGAGTGACGCGTTGCTGATGAAAACGAACGTTTCAAAAGGACGACGCACTCTCATTTACGAACTGCACAGCTATTTAAAGGCTCACTAATTTTGTCGGTTCCCGAAGGGGAATCATCAAGAACTGGTGATGGGTGAGCTTATCTCGTAGAGAGTCACTAATTATTTCCAGATAGTTCGTGACATAAACATTGCAAAATATGAAGGTCACCCAGAAAGTAATGTTCTTTGATAACTAATTTCTAGCGTGACGTCTTTCGGAATTTTTTTTTCCTTACTGAACTCGGAAATGAGAAAATTAATTGTTGCAGCACTGAAAAATATTCTGTTTTCACGAAAAGAACGACCACAATTAAAGAAAAATATCTGTGTGGCTTTCCCTCTTGGAAGTACGAAGTCTTCACAAAACATCAAAAAATCAATCAATAAATCAATGCACACTCTCTGGTCGTATTTCTCTAGGTTTTCTAAGAGATATCTTTCGTTCGTGTTTCCCTACTAAAATTCTGTACGCATTCCTAATCTCGTCATGCGTTCTACCTGCATATCTCACCTAATGATAATAACGATGATTGTAACACTGATAACAAAGCCCTGGAAAGTAACGTTCCTGTATTATTGTTACTTCAGAATGTGTGTTTGTGTCAGCCTCCATAAACAGAAACCGATAATTTCGTAAGCATAGACGGATGTTACATCGTTTTCCATCGTTTTCCACAGACCACAGCCGACCGGTTACATTCTGGCCATATTTCTTTACAAATGAGGAATGTTTGAATCACTCTGTACATTCGGAGGTATAATGGTAGGAGCTTCTTAATGCATGTCCCTGTACGAGACTGCCGTTGTGCCAGACGGGTCATTTGTCTCCTTCTTCAGCCAGGTTACGTGGAGCCAGCCGAATAGTTGACGTAATGGACAGTTCCCTCGGATACGGTTCGCGGACCATGAGCAGCGGTGTGTCAAGCTTTTAACAGGGGCAGTCCACGCCACTCAGTGCTTTCTGGATCACGCCCTTTGGTTCAAGTTCTACGTAAATTAAGTTTTGTTATCAAAGTAAGAAGTGCAATTGACCTTAGTCAAGAGTAAGAAAAATTGACGATCCAATACAATAGTGAACACCTCGCAACTAAATTCTTGAAACACAACTTTACACAGATTTAAGACAAAGTCTGACTAAGGTACAAACAACAATAATTTCGGAAACACTTTACGGTTGAAACTAGAATTCTGTAACAAAAGTATAGGCTGTCACTGAGTACATGTCAGATAAACCAAATTTCGAAAGTAAACAATTTACAACATTAAACGAAGTAGCTTTTCATAACTTTCAGTTTACGTTGGTTTCTTAGTTAACTAAAAACGCATTCCAAACTGTACAAGTTTTATAAGAATGAATTGGAAGATTGTTATGAATGGTGATATCTGAAAGCTGTGGAATTACGCAGATGCCTTCTGCTTGAAACTATTATGATATTCTTTGATCACCCCATCAACAAACAAGTTCTTTGCTTTTAAGAATCTCGGAGGTTCATTACCGAGTTTACGAAACCATCCCATTGGACCGTATTTCCCTATGTGATAAACGTTCTGCGTATCGCAGATAAAGACAAATCAACTGTTACCAACATCCACGCAATACACGATACACATCGCTTAAAATGTAGGACATTTTTATCGCATTTATTCTGTGATTGATAAGAAAAGAGAAAGAAACTTGTACTGACACATCTCGATTATAAAAGTCTACTATTCATAACTGTTATCAGCAGAAACTACGCGTTGCAATAAAAACACACAAACAAAATAGGGTTGCTATGAAACACAGACTGGAAAGAATGACGAAAAGACCTCGGCCCAGCACAATTAATTCGCTTCACGGCGCATGAATAAAATCTTCCGCATAAAGTTTTAGCACCAAGACACTGCTATTTAACCTAAGATAAACAAGCCTACACAAAACGCAACAACACTTGCTAATTTGTCTTAGCAATAAGAACGCACATTTTGAAACAGGCGTCTGCAGCCGTCCAAGTGGACCTAAATGAACGACGAGTAACAGTGTTAAGTAATACACGTAAATAATGCAGTGTCCATGGAGGAATGCTGAACAACTTCTTTTAAGCCTGATGAGCATAAGAAATATTTATGTCTGGAGACTTTAACCTGCGTGCGGGAATGCTACGAATGGAGAATGAACATGTAATTCCACTCTCTGGAGACACAACCTCCACCTTTTCTCTTAAATCCGTAGTCAGGGCTGCGTTCTGGACTCTAAACTTAACGTCACGTTTGGAGTTGGCCTTATTACATTTGCAGTATGAAAGCAAATATGTAATGAAACGTACACATTATTAACAAAGTACATGTGTGTATATATATATATATGGATATATAACGAATGGCTTTAATTTAAATCGATGATCGTCCTGATGATGGAAGCAAAAAATACCTTTGAAACGCCGGTAAACTTTTACCGGCCTACCCAGAAGAACAACCAGCCGTAAGAACCTGAAATTTTGCAATGACGTCTAAGCATTTGTAAAATTCATTTAGTGGAAACTGAGAATGAATGACATTGAACAGACAGGTTGTTAACGTATGCGTGGCCTAACCAGCCAGTATCGCTTATGAAAGAATTGTGAAGGTCCCAACATGTACCGCATTACGTCAAACGATACAGCACACTGATATCTGTATAAATCGTAGCTGTAGGACATGGGAAACGTTTCGGCTGGCTCAGTGCCATTTCTGCTGTATCTAGAATGCATTTTGGCGCATATTCCCAAATTTACAATTACAAATCAGACTGGTGCATAAATCCAAAGTAATAACCACCATTTCCCCCCGTCTTTAACCAGCAAACGGCGCGAGAATTCGGCCACCAAATTGCAGAGAATATTCATAAATATGTCATGCAACTTGCAACAATCCACATCCAATATGCATATGGCCTCCTTAATGTGCATGTTATAGATACATGGACACGCCACATTCAACACAAATGTTTCAATATATTTTGTAATATTTCCCGACAAGCCTCGTGCGTTTATGTAAATTTCATCTCATACAAGTCAGACAGTAACAGTTCCTTAGTGCTTCTTCTGTAACTGGATGCAAGTACACATATAGGTCGAGTAATCGCAGAAGACAAAATCAGTACGGTCCTCCCATCTGGCATATGGCTCAGCACCAATGTTCTTGTAACACTCTACATGATGAAGTGGCCAGCAGCGGAATAATCCAGACATCGGAACCTCTAATCGACCCCGCTTCTGTCTGTAGTGACCGGCACACAGACAAATGACTAGTAATTTAACACAAATATCGTGTAATACTGAACCGTTAACTTACTTCGCTAAACATAGATTTTAAACCGAATGTGAACACGACTTCCATTTTTCGAACGACCCCGTT